AGAGGCTTACAATTCCTTACCTATGCCTGTTTTGAAAGCCGATTTCTTCCGTTACCTAATTCTGCTGGCCAGAGGTGGAATTTACTCCGATATTGATACCCACGCATTGAAACCTGCCCCGGAATGGCTTCCCGAGAGTGTGCCACGCGAAGCTATTGGATTAGTGGTTGGCATTGAGGCAGATCCAGATCGTCCAGATTGGCAAGAATGGTACTCTCGAAGAATTCAGTTTTGCCAATGGACAATTCAAGCAAAGCCTGGACATCCTGTGCTCCGCGAAATCGTTGCCAATATTACTCAACAGACTTTGGACATGAAGAAACGTGGCGCTCTCAAGAAGTTTGATGATAAGAATGTTGTAACATTCACCGGTCCCGCTTTGTGGACAGATACTATTTTCGACTTTTTGAACGATGAGAAATATTTTGATATGACGACAAGCAAGGGAAACATCACATGGAGAGATTTTACAGGCATTGTGTCAGCAAAGAAGGTTGGTGATGTGGTTGTTTTGCCTATTACGAGTTTCAGTCCTGGAGTTGGGCAGATGAATGCAAACGATTATGATGATCCTATGGCTTTTGTGAAGCATGACTTCGAAGGTTTGTCTAGCGGATCTCTCTATAATAAGCACATCAACTAATTTGATCATCTAGGGTCTTGGAAACCTGAGAACGAACGACATGTTGGGGCGAATTAAATAAATATTCGCTTCCCGATACTTTTCCTTACAAAAAATCATGAGCACATAGCACATACATTAGTCGATTTCGAGCGAGCATCAAATGCATGAGTGGCACACTGACGAGCACAATGGGAGGCTTTTCTTTTCTTTTTTTGTTTGATGGGAAAACATAGAATGGTTGTCCTTAAAAAATACCTCTGCGTTTGCTTTTATTCTATTAGCATGGAGTTTGATTTTGAGATTTGGGATATTGGGATAAAGTTTCATTCTTGTTTGGATGGTTGAAGAAGGACTGAGGGGAAAGTGTGTGTATGTGGAAGCAGGCCCCAAATTTTCTATGTTTGGCTGTAATGCTAAAAGCAGAAGACATGGATTTTCAAGAGCTGAAATTTGTGTATTATTGGATTTTGGCACTTCTGGATTTCCTTGGGAGGTGGAATAGACGGTGGAATCGCTGAAGCAGTGTTGCGACCTGCTTGGGATACGGATCAAATATCTTTAATGAGTACTCCTATAGGAGGATTCGGAGATTGGCGAAGAGTCTACGACGGGGGAGTTGTATATATAGTTGTACTATTGGTATTGTGAATAAGGAGAAGGAATCAACAAGTCGAGGACCAAGCAATCATCATAACATGCCACTTTGTTCTTCCGATATAACTGTTCTGTTGCACTTTATCTCTGGGATATATTAACTATGACATAGATCTCAGATCTCATATGTAGCCAAGACTCAGGGGTAACTTTTCCAGCAATAGGAATACTACATAGATAAATTATGGGTCTAGCATCGGTCGAGAGAGCGGAAAAGTAGCGCGGAGCTTACCCCGCCTTTTTGGACCGAGAGCTGAAGTACTTGTTGTACTTTTGTGCTTTAGTGGGACAGCATTTCACAATGTTTGCGTACATATTGGTTTGTTACATGTATGCCATGAGCTGAAAAGCTTTGGGTTTCGTTTCGGAGTAAGTGATTTTCTTTATTCTAATAGATGAGATGGCTTCTAGATTTGGTATTGCGGGAGCGAAAACAGGAACGGAAGCTAGAGCTGGAATGCGGGGATGGAGATGTGGAGATACTCTGGGGATTAAGTTGAGGAGTGAGATGGCGAGAAGCCTGGGAAGCGGAGTGAGAGCTGGGAGTGCAATGAGAATCAGAGTTGGCTGTGGCTTTGGAATGCGCTTTCAAAGGAGGGGCCTTTTGACAGAGAGTTATAGTGCTGGACCGAACGAGGTAACTGGCTTCATTTCTTCCTTTCCTTTACCTATACTCGATACCCTCGCACCCCATTCATTTATCTTCAAATTCTCATAACCACTAAGTTAACGACCCATTTCCTCTCAGCCGCCGCTTCTCCAGCATACTATTCCCCAACATTTCCGCAGCATCGTCAACGCTCATGGCGACAACCTTGCACTCATATCTCGCTCCCAACATATAAAACTTACATATAGAGAGTTGGATGAGAAGAGTAATGTTATAGCATATGGGTTGAGAAGTTCGGGTGTGCAGAAGGGAGATAGGGTAGCCGTCAGTCTGGGGAATGGATGGGAGTTTGGAGCAATCACTTATGCAATTTGGAAATTGGGTGCTGTATTGGTACGTTGAGGATGATGAAAGAGAAGCTTAGGAGAGGTAGAGATGACTTTGAAAGATGGGGGAGATGCTGATTACTATCCAAAATAGGTCCCGTTAAATCCAGCATTTAATACGAAACAAGTGGTGTCGGCCTTAAACCACTTAGCAGCTTCACACCTGATAATTGGCCATGAAACACATTTGCCGTTTAAGCCCCCCAGGGACAATACACCTTTACTGAAAGATATCATTGGGGATCTCAGGCAACTCGCGACTGAATGGAAGAGTGAAGCAGTTCCGAGTTTAAAGACCGTTGTTCTAGTGAAAAATCCGAATGATGAACTTGCGAGTTTTCCAGCCACAATTAATTTTCAGACGATGGTGTCGATATATGGATCAGACAAAGAGAAGGAAGTGATTCCAAATCAGGAATTGCATAAAGATGATGTAATCAATATTCAATTCACATCAGGTACAACTTCGACTCCGAAAGCAGCTTGCTTGACCCATCATTCAATTCTCAACAATGGCTATTTCATCGGCTCTCGTATGGCTCTCACACCATCAGATATAGTCTGTTGTCCACCCCCATTATTTCACTGCTTCGGTTCTATCCTCGGATATATGGCAACCGCTACCCATGGTAGCACAATTCTGTTTCCTTCCCCTGCTTTCAATCCTTCGGCAACTCTTCTAAGCATTCAAGAAAATCAAGCCACAGCCCTTTATGGAGTTGCCACTATGTTTCTCGCCGAACTCGAACTTCTTTCTACTGGTACTATTCCTCATACTGGCTTTGAACATTTGCGCACAGGTATCGCAGCTGGCTCTTCCGTTCCTAAATCCTTGATGGAGAAGCTTCATAAACAATTAAATCTGACTGGTCTAACAATTTGTTATGGAATGACGGAAACGAGCCCAGTTTCTTGCATGACGACTCCAACCGATCCGATGGAAAAACGAGTTAATAGCGTGGGGAAGCAATTACCTCATGTATCTACTAAAATCATCTCACCCTCTGATTCCAATGAAGTTTTGCAGTTAGGTCAACGCGGTGAATTGGCCGTCTCGGGGTATCTGGTTATGAAAGAATATTATGCAGATCCAGATCGCACCGCAGAAGTCTTTATCACTGATAAAGATGGGAAGATTTGGATGAAGACGGGCGATGAAGCGAGTATGGATGAAGAAGGATATGTAAAGATTACGGGCAGAATTAAGGATTTGATCATACGGGGTGGAGAAAACATTCATCCGCTTGAAATTGAAGACTGTATCTTTGGTATGGAAGATGTGAGGGAGGTTAGCGTGGTTGGAGTTTCCGATCACAAATACGGAGAGGTAGTTTGTGCGTGGATCGTACCTAGACAGGGTGTGAGTCGAGGGTCGGATGATGCCGGGGTGGTGAACGATATTATGAGTTGGGAAGCTTATGACAAACTTGTGAAGAACGGGATTAATGCCAGTAACCATACTGAAGGCTCTAAAGCAGAATCCGAAGCTAAAACCACGGAGGGAGAAAAGGGCCAAACCCCAACACTCACTAAAGAAGCAATTCGACACCATGTGAGGACACACTTGAGTGGGCATTTGGTTCCGAAATATATTTTCTGGATGGATGAGTATCCGAAGACGGCTAGTGGGAAGATTCAGAAGTTCAAGTTGAAGGAGAGGGCAGAGTGGATTATTGGGAGTGGAGGAGAACCGTAAGACGGTGGTTAATCGATAGAGTAGACAGATATCTGAATTCAGAAAACGAAATTAGAGTCATGGCTTTGCATAAGTACTCCTCCCCATCTCACCCCACCCACGCAAGAATCTCTAATCGCAACCCCTCTCCTTCCCGAGACAGGTTAATCTCGAAAGTATGCAAATCTATAACGATCAAAATTCAATCTACCAATGTAATTCAACTCGTCATTCCTTCACCATTATCATTTTGCCCATCTGATTTGAATTTATGATGAGATGTTTACTGAACATATGAAATTTGTAAGGATATAATTGAGGTAGATGACTATGGCTATTGATTGTTGAGCACACAATTCAAATCCGACTCTCAAAGAAAAAGAGCTATCAAGAGGAAAGGAATCTTTGCACAGGTGATGAGATGTAGCTGTGAGATGAGCGAGCATTCGCCTACCACCTCTAGCTCGCGACGTAATAAAGGGGTATGAAAGAATCAGCGCCGTTGTTACACGATTGTCAATGTCCCGTAGTGAACTGCAGGAATTCATCTTCTTTGCTAGCTGTCTTGGTAGATAAGCGCGTGGGTGAATGGGAAGATTTCAAATTTTTAAGAGATATCAATGGTGCTTATGAAGGGTTAAGTTGAGTGGTATCAATCGTATTTCGACCCTTGCGAATGATGTTGAATATGCAATTGACAGTTCTATGGAGGGAGGGAGAGACTAGGTACGTATCTCCCTGCTTTTGAGTGGTTAACAGAGATTGGAATCGTTATCCTAAAGCCTTTTTCATTTGGGAAATCCAATTGTTCAGGAAGATGGAGGTTGCGGAGAGCAAAGGTGCAGATTGAGTTTTGCTTTTGTTTTTGTACACGAAATTCGAAGATGGATAGAATCAGAGAGCTGACCACTCATGAGTGATCAATTAAAACCGGAAGAACAAACCTCGTAAACTCAAGTGAAGCAAAGCGAAGTAAACGAACACCTCCATCCAATCCATCCATCTACATCATTTCCCAACCCCAAAACCCCACATCTCACATCTCACATCTCACTCCCTTTGCTTAGGCCCGGTGCTAACTCCTGGATACTCTGAAGTTGGGTCCTGACCCATCTTCAACACCCCATTCGTTTCACAATCCGTCATTACAAAATGTACTTTGTCTTCTGCATGACCATTACTATCTCTGTAAGGAGTCATATTGCACCAATTGGAGTATCTTCGTATCCGCTTTCCGAGCAGTAGAAGCAGGAGTTGAAGAATTCAAAGGGTGTGTAGCCGGTGGGAGCGGTGGTGAGGGTAGCGGATAAGTGATTATTCGGGAAGTGTTTAAATCAAAACAGAAAGTAGCAACCCACGTCATACATAAGATGCGGAAATCAAAGTCGAATAACCACACGTCTTTCCACCCAACATCTTACTAAACATCTGCGTCGTCGTATACCCAATACTCTAACGCCGACTCCAGCGATAGCTATCGCTCGCCCCGAGATTCAAACTCTGCGTTAACAGCTCACTGATTTCTTTCCCGGTGCCAGGCCAGAATCGATATTGATCGATCGTCGAATACTCGTTTGTGGCAGGACGCTCTGTTCTCGACTCACAGTGCGTGTCGTGCTGATTGACACGATGCATCTGTAATGGGAACCTCCTGTCCGTACCCGGCTGTCGATTTGATCGCGCAGTATCCGGTGCATCCTTGTTTTCCGGGTCGTTGGGATGGCGTTGGAACAGTGGCTGGAGGAATCGAGAGTGGATTTCGTGGGACGGTTGTAGGCGTCTTGGGCGATGGGTATATTTTGGGGATAGCAGTTGTAGTTGTTGTGGGAAGGGAGAGGTGGAGTGGGAAGGAGAGGGTGGTGGTTGGTAGGATGAGGAGGGAGATACTTTCTAGTAGAGACATGGTGGGATGGGATGGTCTGGAGGGAGGATTGAGACGTTCGATGAATCGGGGGATGTGAATGAAATTCATGGGAATGGACGAGGTGAAAGGAAGTAACCCTCAAAAGGAATTGTAGAGATGAAAGCAAAAGATTACACGACTTGAACAAAGATCCCTTTCCATTTTCGAGTACATACCTCAACATCTTTGTACATTCGGTATCTCGCACACATGATAGATACTAATATCAACATGAACTATTTTGACATCCAGCATAAAAGGATTCAATTTTCTGTACGTTGAAACAGATATTTCATGTCTTAAATGAATGTCTTAAATGAGAGGATTCATCAAAGCCAGGTCATGAAAAAGACAACGCTACTAACATTGTTTTGTTTTATTTCTCTTCCATGACCTCAGACAGTATACACCGAGCAGGATTTAACAAAACAATTCACGACCTCCTTCGCTTCCGGGCTCATAGCCAACTCTGGATTAAGGTTAGTTGTCCATCTACTTCTCGTTCAGACGAATCCATATGCCCCGCCTCAATTCAGATCTTATCCAGATGTATGTGTGTGTATGTATGAGGCTGCAATTCTCTGAAACGAAGCATAGATAGGAAGGAAAGGAGATCTTGGCGATTTGGGGTAACAGATATGGATTGGAGATTTTCTTCTCGCGCGAGTGTCTGAGACGGTAAGTGCGAGAATATTCTGCAGGCAGTATTGAATGATTCTGATCAATTTACTGAAGCTCAACTCGTCCCTACTATACACGATACTTGTTGAGAGGAGTAAAATAGGAAGAGTGAGGTTTCTGACCTGATATCTACACGCTCTTTCAGAACTTTGCATTGTTAGCTAATATCAAGTATAACAATGCAATCTCATGTACCTTCAAGCATTACATCTCACCGCACGGAAGAGCAGCCTCAAACAATGAAACATAGCGTCATAAACTTACATTGACCCAGCACGAGCTAGCATGCATGTCAAAGGATATTCCACTCCCCACAAAAGAATTCCACAAGATTAGGGGAACTAGATTGTAATCTCAGTATTCGCAAGCGAGTTAAACAGACGAACTTCACGGGTAAGTTTCGTGATAGGAAATCTAGCGTCACAGTGGTAGATGAACGAAGGGAAGATTAATAAGATAGACCTTGATGAGTACGTACTACACAATTGGAAAATCCACAACTGCCCAGGTAGCAATTGGTGGTCGACTCCTCTCCAGTACAAAGCAAGATAGATATACACGATCAAGCATCATTATACCGTCTTCCTAATTCCACCACCATACAAAAGCGTGTAGCCCATCTCGCCAGTTGAAGTAATGCTCGTGCTCTCCCCCTCTCACCACCTCACCGCACACGTCGAGAAAGATCTCAACACAAGAAAATCATCCTCAATCCGGGGACTCCCCTTACCCGAACCTAACTTTCCACTCCCTCTCCCCACGTTTCAAACAGGCTACAATATAAAGCTACAAGCCTTGCCCATGAAACAATACACATCATACAAACGGAAAGGATGACGGCGTAAAAATAAGCAACTTGTGAAGAATGAACGGGGGATTGGCACTGCCTTCTTTTGCCATCCAATCACATTACTCATTGACCGTTAAGATGATGAGTTTTGATCATTCTAAGATATGATAATTGTGCTCTGTAACACGAGAGAATACTGCACGAACTGCGCACTTTACCGTATTCGTCCATGCAAAAGGAGAATTATGACTACATACCTCAAAAAAATCCTATCGCTAGACCCGACGTCATTTCAGTCACTGCAGAGAAACGCGAAGTATGTCTCCAGAATTCTATTCTCTACCATCATGAGCTTAACTATACCTCTACTCATCTTCCTCTGAAACCAATCGCCGATTCTCCACCAATTATTCGAGGTATCAGATCCCACCTCGTGGACAGAAAGCCGACTTTGTACTACAATCCCAGGATTCCCATTCCGACTCGAAAAGTTGAAACATTAATCACATAAAAAAAACATCAACCTATAACAGAAAATTCCGTATAATAAGAGCCTCTCCTTCATTTTCATCTCGAAATTATTCTCATCTTCCTCTCCCATTGCTGGCCCGGTATCGCCTCTTAGAATCATTTCTCCTTCAAACGGCGCCACTTCCAATACCTGTACCAATCTTCCTTCTCCTAACACCTCTGCATTCACCGCCTCTACAATCCATCTCAATACTGTATCATCCCCTGCTCTAAACAATCTGATCGTTCTAAATTGCCTCAAACGCATATAAAATGCTCCTTTTATTTATCAGGAAGCGCCGCCGAAGCTAGTGAGATCTTGAACGAACTTTCGCGACTACAAGAAACGAACGGCGTATCGTATAAATAGCACACAATAGTATTATGAGTAATATGTTTCATTCTACCTAAATAATGTTACAACTGTAATAGTATCCTTCTATACATGTGCTTGAATATAGGCTCCTGTAAGAGTTTTTTAGTCGCTTCTATCTTCTGTCCTTCAACAGATCAAAGATTGAATAGACGAAACGAACCCATGAATCATTTTTCTTCAAACGAGGTCCGAATGAAACCTAAAACGGGCCACTAATTGATTAGTAATGTGCCATGGTGCTTGCATGAGGAGCTTGGTAATAATAATTGAAGTTGGTGAGGTGGTAGCATGCTTAGATACCCGGTACCGGCGTGTTAGAGACTATCTCCAAATCAAAGCCTAGAATTTGCTGTGTTGCTTGCTCAGACTTCATTTCTTGATGAACATCATCCGACATATCAGCGCGGAGATCGTATATTCTCCAATTATAATAAGACAATGGTATAATACAATGTGTTATCCAATCACGAGTTCATGTCAACCATATATTATGCTTGATTCTTCTCAAGTCGGAGCTTTTGGAGAGGTAGTGATTTGATGTATTTGGACTGGTTGAGTCTTGGATCCTCTAGCGAGATCCTCGCTACTCGTAACAGTAGCAGTAACCTCTTGGATAGCTGCCGAAGCCTCGATAACGGTGGTTTTAGAGGTGAAGGTAGTAGCAGTTGGGTCTATACATCGTCCGAACCATCCATAACTCTTACAAGATGTCGAAGTTATCGTTGTCGTTGACGTAAACGTCGTACTCGCACTACCTTCATCTAAGCAACCCCACCAGCCAGGAGTTTTGCAAGTTTCGGTACGAGTCCTTGGCTTTGATGTTGTACTTGCAATAGTACTTGATGAAGTAGAGTGAGGACCCTTTTCTCGTTTCCAATTGAAGCAATCAACACAATCGGTCTCGGCAACACACGTCGGGGCTCCATCATACTTCTTGTATACATTTCTGATAGAGGCTCTGATTCCATGCGTCGATAGAGATACACTCCAGCCAAAATCTGTAACAACATCGTAGACACATCGTAATCCTGCATGACACGTCGACTCGAGGGCATAACCAGCAAAAGCACAAAGTGATGTAGCCCCATTACACGTACCCATATATACCGGATCGGCGGTGTGTCCGAAATTCCAGATGCCTACATTATCACGAGCTTCAGAGGCCGAATTGTATCCTGGTGGAGTAGGAAGAGCCAATCGAGAGATTGCTAATGCTTGAGGAACCGACTCAAAGGTCAGTACAGGATGGCCAAAAGTTAATGCAACGAGAGTAGTGACAAGTCCTCCAAGAGAATGACCTGTCAACCAAACATCGGCATTGGGATATTCCTCTGTAATGTTTCCATAAAGTTCCACGGCAGCTTGATAATAACGATTCGGTTTCTTTAATGCTTTAGAAACACACATTTCATTGCATGTATATGTTGCCGTCATACAATCACATACTTTTCGCAGCCCCCATCCACCTTGTCCACAGCAACATCCCGCAAACAAATTATCATTCTCCTTATCATTTGTAGTTGTTTCCGCTCCGTCGAATACAGCTGAAGTTGTACCCTTCAACGCGATAACGATTGTAGTATTTGTATCGTCGGCATAAACATGGCCCCGCAGACCATCCGATTCCCATCCAATGGAAGATGAAAGATTGAAGGGAGGTTTTACGTCTTCCCACTGAGGGTCATCTGGAGTTCGCTGATATGTGTTTGCTGCCATGACAGCAAAATTGACCACAGTGGATTTGTCTGTCACATTTGGCGCCGACACATCATCAACAGACCATGCCGATGCAGGTAAATCGGCAGGCCATTGATTGAAAGCTTCTATATCTTGTACACTTCGCTTTCGAAGTCTGTGGATGCCTATTGGAGCTGTGTGAAGGGTAAAAGGCCCAACTTCAGATTCGCCATCGCTAACTTCAAGGGCTGCTTTCTTTATCTTCTCAGGATTGATTCTGAGCCGTCGATGTAACTCAGGATATTCTTTGGTTCCGCGATGATACACGCTTCGCAGAGTGAGGGTTCGACTCTGACTAATGGCTGCATCGCCTCCAGAGCTTTTGGGTGGTGAGGTCCATTGTCGTAATGGAGCTTGAATCGATGGTAGGAATGGCACCTGGAAACCTTCAGCCCAATAATTATTCCATCCCGATACCAGAATAGAAGTATAAATTAGTGGAATTAAACACAAGGAAAGTAGTAGCATCACGAATTATTATAAGTATGATAATGCATGCACGTATGTAATTGTTTAGATTGATGATAAACTCCTCTCAGGTCAAGAAGTAAATGAATGAATGCACTGAGACATTCTAGGTAAGCCTCGGCATGATAACTTACCCCAGATATTAACTTTTAGGCTTTCCCATACCTATGGCAAAGATACGTATTCAACAAATCCAGAACGTTCAATTCTGCAAGATGATTTGTTCAACAACGTTCAATACAATCCTGGTTTAAATCTTGATTTTTGTAGATATTCTCAAAATAGATAAAATTCACGATCCAGCCGTTGGAGAAGGTGATCATCTTAGACCTATCTATCTGTATCCCAAACGTCTACCTACCTACAATCAACGACATGCCCCTTTATTGCTGCCGTCCGTCAGGCATAGCATGCGCTTGTCAATTCACCATTTCACAAGTTCTACATTATCTAGAGCAAAGAGTCATTATATCAATTGATTAGGACCAGTAAGATTTACACAATTAGAATATAGTCTTCTAGAACGCCTTGTATTCATTCTTTTCCTAAATATTGCAGAAAGCTGCAGTTTCAACCGTTATTTATCTCATCACACGCCGTCCATTGGTCTACCATCACAGCACAATAGCGAATAGAAATCCAAATAAAACATGAAACGAAAACTAGTAATTAAAAAGCCACAAGTAGCGATGGCGTAATAGCATCTAAATTTATGCCACCTGTGCCGTTTTGCGAGATGATTGAAATGATTATGTGTGCCAATGACCACACCATGCCACCGACCGACTGACCAACCGAACCGCCATGCGTATTATGTTTCCTCACAGCTCAACCGGAAACGAATATGAAGTCCTTAAACCCTTCACAAGACTAGAACGAAACCGATCCCAATCGTACAACTCAGGCCCGCAAACATGCGAGCAGAGTATCAAAGAATGAAATAACAGACTATTGCCACCCTAAATTATTGAAATGACACGCTCTTGAAGCTAAACCACCTTTCTTAAGGTTCCAATCTTGACATGCAATTTCCTATTGCTGTCAGAAGTCAATGAAGAGGGCAGATGAGGTTTGCCTCTGTGAAAGTCGGCCGTTATACCCCATGGTTAGATTATCCGTCTTCGCAAAGAATGGGTAACAGCTGCTAGTAAATGGCCACGGTATTGGACGTCCTGCGTGGACATGTTTTATGAGGGCTGGATGATGATCAAGTACGCTATCCTGGATTTGAAACCATGCAAGAATATGTTCAGTGCTGAGATCAAGCGAGATATGACAAAATACCGCAAGGTGCAGATAGTCCTCGGGGGGTTCAGTAGCCAATTTGGATGGGTTATGTGTCTTTCTTCAAGCCCGCTTGGAGGGAACGATGGATCCTGAGTTGGAATGTCGAGTTCAAGCCAGGGATATGCTTGCAATAGGTCGATTTACCGGGCCTCTTTCATATCGTTGCTTGGGTGTTTTGGTGTCT